TCTTCTCGGCGTCTCTCCTCGCCCCTTGGTCTCTCTTGGAGCCTCTCCTCGCCCCTTGATTTCTCTTCCCCTCGGGGTCTCTCCTCGCCCCTCGATCTCTCTTCTTGGGGCCTTCTCTCGCCCCGAGATCTCTCCTTTTCTGGGGGTCTCCCCTCACCCCTTAATCTCTCTTCTCGGCGTCCTTCCTCGCCTCTTGGTCTCTCTTCTCGGGATCTCTCCTCGCCCCTCGATCTCTCTTCTTGGGGTCTTCTCTCGCCCCGGGATCTCTCCTTTTCTGGGGGTCCCTCCTTGCCCCTTAATCTCTCTTCTCGGCGTCTTTCCTCGCTCCTTGATCTCTCCTCTTCTCGGGGTCTTCCCTCGCCCCTTAATCTCTCTTCTCGGGGTCTTTCCTCGCCCCTCGATCTTTCTTCTCGGGGTCTCTTCTCGCCCCTCGATCGCTCTTCTCGGCGTCTCTCCTCACCCCGCCCTTTCTCGTGAAAGACCCTGTCTTCACTCAGGGATCTCTCCTCACGCCAGGATCTCTCTTCTCCTCGGGGTCTCTCCTCTTCCCTTGATCTGTCTTCTTGAGGTCTCCCCTCGCCCCTTGATTTTTCCTTGCCCCCTGATCTCTCTTCTTGGCGTCTTTCCTCACCTCTTGGTCTCTCTTCTCTGGGTCTCTCCTTGTCCCGGGATTTCTCTCCTCGGGGTCTTCCCTCCCCCTTTGATTTTTCCTCTTCTCTGGGTCTTTCCTCACCCCTTGATCTCACTTCCCCTTGGGGTCTCTCCCCACTCCCTGATCTCTCTTCTGGGTGTCTCCCCTCGCCCTTTGATATCTCTTCTGCGCGTTTCTCCTCTCCCCTTGATCTCTCTTCCCCTCGGGGTCTTTCCTCGCCCCTTGAGCCCTCCTCTCCCCTTGATCTCCCCTTGCCCCTTGATCTCTCTTCTTCTCGGGATCTCCCCTGGCTCCTTGATCTCTCCTCTCCTCGGAGGAGTCTCCCCCCGCCTCTGGATCTCTCTTCTCGGAGTCTCTCCTCGCTCCTTGATCGCTCTTCTCGGGATCTCCTCTGGCCCCTTGATCTCTCCTCGCCCCGTGATCTCTCTTCTAGAGATTTCTCCTCGCCACGGGTCTTCCCCTCCCTGCGGGACTTCTCATCCCGACCCTTCTCGTTACAGAGCCTGTCTTCGCCCCACGCTCTCTCACTGCGGGCTCTCCCCTCCATGCCAGCGCTCTCCTCGCCCCAAACTCTCTCCTCGTTCCATGTTTGCCTCTCGATCCTCACCTTTCCCTTGAACCACGACATTTTTTCTCCCCACTTCTCGCCTTCCTTTTCTCTGCCCAGATTAACAACCTGCTCTACACCCCGCCCCCTCGCTCAGCCACGCCCAGCTCTTAGGTCCGCCTTTCTCCTCCCCTCCTGCCTGCTCGTTTCCCCTGTCTGCGGCGTCCCACGACTCTTCACCTTCCAGAGCCTTTCCCCGCTTGGTCTCCCCCCTCCCCGCCCTCCCTCCTCCCCATCCCCTGCATCCCCCCAGGATGGTACCACCCTATTCTCTGGGCCCCACTTACCAGCCGCTTGATTAAAACCGGTCAACCGTTGCTCGGCAACGCCTCTCTCACCCCACTTGCCCGGTCTCAAAATGGCCGCCCTCACTTCTACAACTCACTTCCGCCTTCCCGAGCCACGCCTGCGCGGCGTGATTGTCTCCACGGTAACGGACGCCCAAGACTGCGGGGCAGGTCTCTACCGTCCAGTCTGAGACCTAAAGTGTTCGAGTTCACCGAAATTTGTGTTAGGAAATCCTTCAAGGGGTTCCTACTGTCTCTTCTGACAGTGAGCACTGCCTCTGCATGTCCTTAAACTGAAAAATTCTGCTGAAAAGGTCCCTCGACACCCTGTGGTAATGAATTAATCTGCTGCTTAATGATTTTTTTAATTTTTATTTTATTTATTTATTTATTTATTTATTTATTTATTTATTGTGGTACCAGGGATTGAATTTAGGACCCTGCGCTTGCCAGGCAAGCGCTTATTCTACTGAGCTAGCTCCCCGGACCCCACTGAATTTTTTTTTTTTCAATGCTGGGTCTTGAAACTGGATTTAGCATGGTAGGCAAGCCTAGTGCTGATAGAGCGTGGCAAAACTGGCTGAGGAATAAGCAGGACCTGTCCATTACAAATTCTAGGGCAGCACTGGAGAAAGAGACAGGATTTGTCAATTTCAAGATTCCAGGGCTGTGCTGGATAACTCTCAGGACCTTCTGGCCAGCGCCCCCAAGATCTGGACGATATGAAAGAGAGATTCCGGAAGAGCTTGCTACCGCCAGTTCCCACGTGTTGTTACTTTCTATTCTGCCCCTCTTCCTTTCCCCCTGCAGCCCCTCCCCCTCTTTCGCTCTCTTCGCTCCATCCTTTGTTTGATACTAGGAGAACTTGAAATACTTTTGTTTGGTGAGCTATTTTCTTTTTCTTTCTTTCTTTTTTTTTTGCGGAACCGGGGATTGAACTTAGGCCCTTGCGCTTGCCAGGGAGGCATTTATTCCACTGAGCCATCTCCGCGGCCCTTTGGTGAGCTATTTTCAAAGTAACTACCTGACCAGTGTACTACACACCAACCCTTAATTTGCAGTTTAGCCTCATCCTCTAAAAATGTGAACATGAGCTTCCCGCTCATATAGGTGTTATAGGAAATCAAGGTGACACAGGTAAAAATTAAATACATTTTAAAATTTATTATTTCTAATGACTGTTAAATAAAATGTATTTTAGTTAATACATTTGTTTCATTTGCTTTTTTTTTTTTTTTTTTTTTTCAGAACCAGGGATTGAACTCAGGCCCTTGCACTTGCCAGGGAAGTGCTTATTCCACTAAGCCATCTTCCCAGCCCCTCATTGCTTTGGGTTGAGCACCTGTACTTGGTCCAACTGGCCAACCAAAATGTAGTCTTCATGCTGAAGTTCCATGTCACCAAGTTGAAATGAAGTTTATCTGATCTTCTGAGCAATCAGAATTTTAAAAGCCAAATCTTCATATAAGCCAGTTTTAGCTACGAGTTTCCTCTGCTTTAATTTTTTCAAGAAAAGTAACTCTGAAACAAGCTATCCGGTTGTTTTAGTACTGAAGATTGAAGCCTCTTTTTTTTAAAAAAAAAAAATGTATTTAGACACAGAGTCTAGCTAAGTCAATAAATTGTCCAAGGTAGGGTGCACCAAGTTGGCTGTCCTGTTCAATTTTTAAGATTTTTGCCCCCTGCACTGTGGGGGTAAACCCCGTTCCTGCCTAGTTTTCCTTGTTTCTTTTCTCTTCTCTGTGTGTAAAACCAATGACCTTGGCTCAGCTCATTCTCTTTCTTTCTTTCTTTCTTTCATTATTTTGGATAGCTCAGCGGATTAAAGCGCCTGCTTCGGCAGCTGTAGGGACCAGGGGTTCAATCCTCGGTATGCTGCGCCAGCCCTGACTCCAGGGTGAGCTAAAACATCTATTGAGACTGGGTGGGGTGGTTTGCAAAAAAGAAAATTTATTTTTTTATTTTTTTGATGGAACCAGGAATTGAACTCAGGTCCTTGCGCTTGCCAGGCAAGTGCTTATTCCACTGAGCCATCTCCCCGGCCCCTACTGCCTGATTTTGAAGCTGGGGAAAAACTGAATAAGCCTTCTGGTTTCACTTGCTTTTAGTTACTTGCTGTTACTTACTTAACTTTAAAAATCACTAATTGGGGGGCTGGTGAGATGGCTCAGTGGTCTAAAGCACCTACTTAGAACAAGCTTAGCAAAAGAGCACAGGGACCGCGGTTCAATCCCCCAGCACCACATACCAGCCAGCCCCGCCCCCTGGTGGGCTGAACTGGCCACACACACACACACACACACACACACACACACATAAATAAAACATTAAAAAAAGGGAAACCGAGGCAGAAGTGTAGCAAAAAAAATGTGTTGTAATTTCAAATCTGACTTCCTTTCACATGAGACTCACCAAAACGTGTTTCAAAGAGGTTGGTGAGGACTGGCAAGATAGCTCAGTGGACTAAAGCGCCTGCTTAGGCAATGCCCAGAGGCCGGGGTTCAATTCCCAGTGTGCCATGCCGGCCCCTTTCCCAGGGTGCCGAGAGGCGATTGAGACTGGGCGTGGTGGTGTGCACCTGTAATCCCAGGATTTAGGAGGCTGAAAACAGGAGAATCACTACAAGTCTGATCTGTGTAGTGAGACCCTGTAGATCCTGTATTAAATACATAAAAAATTTAAAATAAATAAAATAAACATTAAAAAAAAAAGAGGTTGGTGACTGTGCTGTCAATGTTTGCTCAAGTAGATCTGGGGTGGGGCCAAGAATCCTAGCAAGCTGAGTCAACAGGGATTAGGGATCTGACGCCTAGGGCCCACACCTCAAGAGCTAGAGCTCCAGGACTTCCTGTGTGCCCAGGCCTCAGGAAAACCTGTGCACACGCTAACCCCCTCTGCTACGCTCTTTCCTGCCTTGTCACTGCGCTGGCCCCTTTCTTCTCCTCAGGGTTTTCATTTTTTAAAGTGCTGGGATCCAGTCCAGGGGTGCCCGCACACCAGGCAAGTGCTCTGCCACTGAGCCGCACCCGCAGCCTTCCTTTGGGTTTTGTCTAGAACACATGACAGGCACGCATCTCACCCTTTGACCATCTTAGGCCATGAGTGTTTAGAGACAGGTTGTTGCAAAGGGTTTTGGTTTGGGGGCTGTTTGGAGACAAGGTCTATGTGGTTTAGGCAGGCCTTGCATTTGCAGCAACCTTCCTGCCTCAGCCTCCCAAGTGCTGGGATTACAGGCATGTGCATCCACACCCAGCTAGAGGCAAGTGTTTCTCACTGGATCTGAAGCTCCATGAGGGCAGAGCCTCAAGCTTTCTGTGTCACTTCCCCACCTGTCCAGCACAGCACCACCCAACAGGCCAGGGAGGGTGACTTCATCCTAAGAGTGCTCATGTACTCTTCTAGTTTCCCTGGACGACTAGAGTCTCCTAATGGCCTCCAGCTGGGGAATCCAGACCCCCCAGAGGGCCAGCGTACTTTGTTAGGTCTTGAGGCACAAGGCGTTCAGTGTAGCATTATTTTTCCAGAGAAAGATAAAGCTGCCCACACGTCTATCAACAGGGGCAAGAGAATGATGTGTGCCGTGTGTCCTGAGGGACACTGCAGGTACAAAATGGACCTAGTGGGCTGGGGATGTAGATTCGAGTAAAGCACTTGCATAGCATGTGCAAGGCCCGAGTTCAATCCCCAGTACTACACACACACACACACACACACACACACACACACACTCTTCAAAAAATAGCCAGGTGTGGTGGCACATGCATATAATCCCAGCAGTTGGGAGGCTGAGGCAGGAAGATTGCTGTGAGTTTGAGGCCAGCCTGGACCACATAAGTGAATTAAAGGCCAGCCTGAATTGCATAGCGAGACCCTATCTTAAAAAAAAAGATCTACTTGGTGTCCTATGCATGGTCCCTGACATATACTATGGTTAAAAAAAAAAATCAAGGTGCAGAAATGATAATAGTATATAGAATATATTATTAAAATATTAATATTTTATTACAGCTATCATATAAAGAGGCAGAGTTCAGAAAAAAGAAGGAAAAAGTAGGCGAATTTGATTGGGTCCCAGGGGCTGGGCTGATGGCTTCACAGGTATTATTAGGTTGCTGACTGAGTTCATGAGGTAGCATGTTTGTAACTCATTTCCTAGGTGAGCAGCCCGAGGCATAGGGAGCAGGTGAGGTCGCTGCCCACAGCCACACAGCCTGGCAGCGATGGCTGCAGACATGGAGCCAGGGCCTGTCCGGGGGCCTGCAATCACCACAACTCCGTGCTAGAGCTCTGGTGCGTGCCTGCAGAACAGAGCGAGAAGGGGACAGAGGAGGCCACACACAGTGCAGGGGACAGAGAGGCCACCCTTTGCACTCTCAGTTCCCCCTGAAGTTTTTACCACACATTTGTTATTGTTTAATATCTTGAACTGACCAGAACCTGGCTTTCGGTTTGTTTTTTTTTTTTTTTTTGGTATTAAGTACAGGGTCTACAGGGTCTCACTACACAGATCTGATTCGTGGTGATTCTCCTGATTTCAGTTTGCCAAGCGCTGGGATTACAACGCTTTTTTAATTTTTTTTTTATTTTTATTTTTTTGGCAGAACCAAGGATTGAACTCAGGCGCTTGTGATTACCAAGGAAGCACTTATTCCACTGAGCCATCTCCCCGGCCCAGTGTAGTTTCCTGAATGGACTTTAGAAGCAATTGGAGGCAGGGGTGGAAGCCAGAGCACATAGGTGCCTCCCTTAAGATGAGAAGGGAGGGGGCCAGGGAGATAGCCCAGTGGAGTAAGGGCTTGCCTGCCTGGCAAGCGCAAGGTCCTGAGTTTGATCCCTGGGACCACAAAAAAAAAAAAAAAAGATGTGAAGTGAGTTAGCCAGCCATGATGGCACAGGGTCTTGTGATCCAGCACTCAGGCAGCTGAGGCAGGGGGATGACTGTGAGCTCCAGGCCAGGCTGGGGAAACAGTGAATTCAAGGCCTGCCTGATTACACAGTGAGAACTTGTCTCAAAACAAAAAAACAAAGAAGATGAGAAGCAACTGCCTCTTCACCCCACGCGACTGGCAGTAAGGTCAACCATGACCTTGGCAAGCTGAGGGAGGTAGATGCTGGGTATTCTAAACTCCTGTGGGAAAAGGTACCAAACAAAACCATCAAAATCCCAATTTTACACTTTCTGTGTGACTCTGGGCAGGTTCTGTACCCTCTCTGGGCCCCTTTCCTCACCTGTAAAATGTAGTGTACATGATTCGCAGGATTTCTGAGAGGGTGAAATGTACCGCAGAGTGCTTAGAACTGTACCTGGTATAGAGTCAACCCTATGTAAGGATCTTCTATCACTGTCATTACAACAGCATGGCATCACTTTCGCAACGACTGACAGCGTTGATTCTCCCTCCTTAAAATTCTCACTTCTGTTACTGCTACTCTCCACCTTCCTGGTGCCTCTATTCCTCTGTGTTTGTCACTCCTCTTCTGCCTTGTTTGGAAGCTCTTCTTCCCGGTACCAAGATCCTGGTTTGAAGGGTCGCTGTTTGCACGAGACATTATCATGTCTGGTTGTGATGCCTGGCTCTGTGGCAGCCACTTGGGACCTTGAGGAGGACACTCATAGGAGCCAAGCCTCCTGCAGTTGAGGGTGACCAAGCAGAGACGGGGGGCCTGCAGCCACAGGACTCTGCCATTGCCGTGGATAGAAACATTCTTGGATCTCTCTCTCTCTCTCTCTCTCTCTCTCTCTCTCTCTCTCTCTCTCTCCCCCCGTCCCTCTCGATGTGCAGTATAACAACTCTTATTTGAGTCAGTACCAGTCAGGGTTTGGTTAATCTAAAACATTTCTGAGATATAAGCAAAATAGAAGCCCCTTTGCCTCATGCCCATGGCTGGTCCTGTTCACTCTCTCCCCGGCATCTCCGCATCTTGGTTTCAAGGCTTGACCTCTTGCAGAGCCCTGGCACTGTGGGTTAAGTGACCATCTAACGCCTCACCCCTGATGCCCCTTTGATCTATCTGTCTGTCTGTCTATCTATCTATCTATCTATCTATCCATCTATCTTTGTAGTGCTGGGGATTGTAGCTCACCTTTCAGCTGAGCTACATCCCAAGTCCTTTAAAAATTTTTTATTTGTTTATTTTTGATACAGGATCTCACTATGCAGTTCACACTCATAATGATTCTCTTATCTCAGCCTCCCCAGTGCTGGGATTATAGGTGTGTGTCACCACACCCAGTTTTGGGGTGGCACAGTGCCCACATGGCATGCGGTACCGAGGAACAAACCTGGGTCTTTGCACTTGCCAGGCTGTTGCTTAGACCACCAAGCTATCTCCCTGCCCCCCTCAGCCCTTTTTACATTTTTTAATTTTGAGACAGCATTTCACTAAATCACTAAATCACTCAGGCTGGGGTCAAATTCTAAAACTCTCAGAATGCTGGGGTTACAAGTGGGTATCACCACATCCAACTCCTGGCTCCTTTCTGTCACCTTCACAGCACTGCAGAGCCAGAGAGCACAGTAAGGGGCCCTCGGCACGGAGATGAGCCATCGTAAGAGGTGGCAGGGCTGGGGCCTACACCTGAAATCAATCACATCCTCACTCCGAGACTAAGCCAAGAGGTTGCCCTTCCCAAACCTCAGTGTCATTGCTGGAGAAAGAGCATAATAATACTATTTTCCTCAGATAGAAAGTAGCAGAGCATGCCTGGCCAAAGACAGTGCCACCTAATTACATGGCAGGCCAGCTCTGCAAAATCGGGCTTTGAAGGTGATCACCACCCTCTGGTCACTCTTTTATAGAAAGAGCCTGAGAGGTAGCGTGGCTGTCTGGGGACACAGGCAGGACATGGCTGAGCTCCGGGGAGGACACGCAGTTCAGGACACAGGCAGAGTCATTGCATTGGAGCCATACAAGGAGCAGGCAGTGCCTTCCCAAGCCAGCGGGATCTGGGCTGGGGTCCTGCGTCCCCTTCCTGCCTGCCAGGCTGCAGAGCAGGATGCTGCCACCCAGGCCCACCCCAGGGCTCTCCAAGTGGGTGCTACTCCCTGGAGACACCTGAGGAAAAATAAATCAGGCATAACTGCTTCCGCTGACCACATCTCACATTTCAGGCCTTAGTTAAATTTGTTTATAGTACCAGACTAGAATCCCCGGGCTTCACACGAGGCTACATCCCAGGCTTTTATTTTAAATTGTGAGACAGGGTCTCACTAAGTCACTAAGTTGCCCGGGCTGGCCTTGACTTTGCAGTTCTGCCACAGCCTCCCAGTATGCTGGGATTACAGGCATATGCCACCCAGCTAGGTCTTGGTGGAACTCTCCCTTCCTCTGGGAAGCCCTCCCAGGGGATGTGCTTCCCCCTAACCCCGTCACTGTGCCCGTGCTTTCTCCATGGCATCCTTGATCCCGCTGGCACCTCCACTGAAGCCTCGCTTACTTGGGGCTATCACTGTCTGAGGACAGGTCTGACTACTGACTGGTCTGTAAGCCCCACAAGAAGACAGCCCAGGGCTACCTGCACCGCTACTGTGTCCCCAACATTGTTTAGCACAGGGCCAGTACAAAGGAAGGATCTCTGGATGAATGACCAGTTTCTTTCCATCTGACAGCTGAGGAAATCAGGGCTCAGAGAAGGGCAGCCCCTTGTCCAAGACAGGGTGGCGAAACCAAGGGCCAGAATGAGTTCCAGGCCCAGAGCCTGGTAGAGTCGGAAGTTGATGAGTGGCCAAATGAGGGAGAAACATGGTATGTGAGGGAATGAGACAGAGAGGCCGAGAGGTGAAGATAGAACTGGTGCAAACAATGGGGCTCCAGGGAGGCCAGAGGTGAGAGAGAGAGACACAGGGAAGTGGACAAGGTCATGCTGGTGCCCAGAGGAGCCAGAGAGAAGCCACCCCTGCCACCCAGCCTGGTACTGTAAAATGGGATGAGACAGAACAGTTGGTGACAGTGCCTCTCCCATAGAGGTGTGGACATTTGTGTCTGGTCAGCTCTATTCCTGGGTCCTGCTGCATTGCAGCACTTGCCGGGCTACCTGGGGATGGAGGCATAGTCAGTGTGGGAGCTGACAGACAGCTGCTGGTGCAGGTCTGGCTGGGGGTCCAGAATGTCCACCTGGTCCTCCTCCTCCTCGCGGAGGCTGGCAGGGCATGGGCTGCGCAGCAGGATGAGCTCTGTGAGGCCGTGGAGGTTGGACACGTGGTGGAAGGTCTGTAGCACGAGCACCATGGCGACCAGGCCCAGGAAAAGGTACACTGCAGGGACATGCAGAGAGGCACAGGGTCCACAAAGGCTCCAATTCCCAGGGCAGGGGAACAGTTGTGCAGCATCCCCAGGCTGGGGGTTGGGTCCCTCTTGGAACCCAGTAGACTCCCACCTGGGATAAGGCAATGACTGTGTCCCCAGGGGCCCCAGCCAGCCCCAGCTCACCTGTGACCAGCAGCTTGTAGAGCGCCCGGTAGGGCTGGCCCGGGGCCTCCCCAGGCACATAGTCTCCCAGGCCGATGGTGGATAGAGAGATGAAGCAGAAGTAGAAAGCATCCAGGAAGCTCCAGGCCTCCTCCAGGTATGCGAAGACCGCAGCCGGCACCAGGAAGCAGATGGTCGTTATGACCACCAGCAGGACCACCAGGTGCCATCGGGCTGCCCGCCGGGGGTCCCAGCCCCAACGCAAACTCAGCCAAGACAGGGGGGCATGCGTCAGCAGCAGCGCCAGTCGCTGGGCCGAGGCGGTCAGCAGCAGCATGGTGGTTGGCACGCCCAGGAGCGCAAAGGCGATGGAGAAGGCCTTGCCCGCATCAGTCAGTGGCGTGGTGTAGCCATAACCTGCAGAGTGATTGGGAAGCCTCCTGCCCACCTGGCACCTCTGCCAAGCTGGCGTGCATGCCTCAAACCTACCCCTGACTTCATCCCCGGCCCTCAACCCCAGGGCCCCTGGGGGCGAGGGGAGAGTGGCTGCCCTGGACCATAGGCCCTGGGCCAGAGGTCATGGTTTCTCCTATAACCAAGAGAAACCTGGGTATGCTTGAGACTTAATTCTTAACTCTGTGCGCTCTTGTAGTTCACTTTATTTTGGGGGTAGGGTATTAGAAATCAAACTCAGGACCTTGCACTTGCCAGTCAGGTGCTGTGCCACTGAGCTATAGCCCCAGCTCTTTTTTTGTTTTTTGTTGTTTTGTTTTGTTTTGTGTTTTGTTTTGAGACAGGGTCTCAGTCTATAGTGATGGCTGGACTTAAACTTAGTTTTTGCATAATTAAAAGAATCAAAAGTAAACCCTGGAAGACAAATGTGTTCATCATGTTTATAGCAGTATTAATCACAACAGCTAAAACAGAGAGGAAACCCAAATTTCCACTGATAGGACAAGCACAATGCAGTACCTGCACCCAACAGGGCAGTTTTCAGCCTTAAAAAGGAAGGTGGTTGTGACACATGATGCATTATGAACGAACTCTGAGGATATGCTAAGAGAAAAGCTCCCATCACGAAAAGACAAAAACTCACTGCACAGTAACTTTGCAGGTAAAGCAGTTCGGACTCAGAGACAGAAAGGAGAACAGTTGTTTCCAGGGGCTAGAGGAGAGGGGAATGAGTTTTGTTTGAAGGCTAGAGAGTTTTTTTTTTTTTATCTATCTATCTATCTATCTATCTATCTATCTATCTATCTATCTATCATCTATCTATCTATCTATCTTTTTGAGACAGGGTCTTGCTACACAGTTCAGGCTGGCCCTGAGCCCACTCTGTAGCTCAGGCTGGACTCGAACTTGCAGTTCTGTTTTTCAAGATAAGAGAAAGAGTTCTGCGTAGGTGGTGGTGACAGGAGACACCCAGCACTCTGGTGCATCTTATACTCCCATCACTCAGGAAGCTGAGGAAGGAGGATCGTGACAAGGCCATCCTGGACTACATATTGAGACTCTGTCTCAAAATAAAAAATAGAGGACTAGGGAGAGAGCTCAACGGTCCAAGCACCTGATTGGCAAGCACAAGGACCAGAGTTCAATCCTAGAATCACATGACGTGCTGGCCCTAGAGCCCCAGGCATACCGTGCCAGCCCTGAAACTAGGCATGGCAGCACATGCCTGTAATCCCAGTGCTGGTGAGGCTGAGACAGGAGGATCACCACAAGTCCAAACTGAGTAGCAAGACCCTGTATCTAAATAAATTAATTAATTTTTAAAAAGATAAAAAATAAGGCCAAATGGGGCTGGTGAGATGGCTCAGTGGTCTAAAGCACCTACTTAGTACAAGCTAAGCTAAGCAAAAACACAGGGACCGCGGTTCAATCCCCCAGCACCACATGCCAGCCAGCCCCGCTCCCCTGGTGGGCTGAGCTGGCCACACACACACACCCACACACGCAATAAATAAATAAATAAATAAATAAATATTTAAAAAATAATAATAATAAGGCCAAAGATAAAAAATAAGGCCAGCCAGATAGCACAGCAGATTAAAGCACCTGCTTAGGCAGACACTGGACCAGGGTTCATCCCTGGTGTGCCCCGCCGGTCCTGCCCCTGGGGCACGACGAGAAGGCAATTGAGACTGGGAGTGCTGACGCGCACCTGTAATCTCAGTTCTCTGTGCTTGGGAGGCTGAAAACAGGAGGATCACTATGAGTTCGATATGTGTAGTGAGACCCTATAGGCCCTGTACTAAATACATTAAAAAGAAAAAGATAAAAAATAAAAATAGGAAAAAAAAATAGGGCCAGCCAAATAGCTCAGCGGATTAAAACGCCTGCAAGCAGGCACAGGGGCTGGGGGTTCGATCCCAGGGCCTGCTTATGCCAGCCCCACTCCCAGGACACACTGAGATGGCAATTGAGACTGGGCACAGTGGCGTGCACCTGTAATCCCAGTTCTTAGAAGGCTGTAAACAAGCGGATCACTATGAGTCCAATCCAGTAGTAAGACCCTGAAAACCCTACAGACCATTCCCTAAAAATACAAATAAATAAATAAATAAATAAATACAGAAGAAAAGGATAAGCCTGGGTTCTATCTCTTGTACCACAATAAACAAATAAACCTGTCCTCAAATGTGGTGGCAACCCTGCCAGGTTAGGACAGAGCTTTATACTTACCAAGAGTGTGCAAAGTCACAATAACCGTATGCTACATTTTTTTTTTCCCTAAACATGAAACCCAAGGCCTCTTGGATGCCAGGCCAGTGGCCCAACCAGTAGCAATGTCTATAATTCTAGTTTCCTCTGTCTCCTGCCACCTGCCTGAATTGTGGCCAGGCAGCCTAGAGCAACCCCTGGGGCCAGGTCTTAGAAGACTTGGGCTCATGCCAAAGCTGAGACCTCACAGCAGAGAGGACTTTCTGAATTACGTTCAGGTGCCGAACGCTTCTCCAGATACAGTCAATGTTCGGCCCCTCCAGAAGGACAGTGATCACAGAGACTCCACAAACATCAATTATATCATCACCACACCTCACACTGACAGGGATGCCTCATTAGCCAATCCAGTCTGGCTCCCCTGAGCCCACAAGGCCCAGTGTGTGTGTGTGTGTGTGTGTGTGTGTGTGTGTGTGTGTGGTCTGCCTGCACCGTGCCCTTGCCCTACATTTCTGCTGTACAGTAGCTGGGTTCGGCAGCACACCCATCACCCTTCCTCAGGCCCAGTAATGTTGAAACCCAGCCATATGACAGCGACTTCCCTGTTCTCAAAAACTGTGCGGGCTGTTGTTCAGGACAGAGGCACGGAACCCTCAGGCCTAACCTAAAATGACTTTGATGTCATGGTAGAGCCAAAGCCCCCACTGAGCAAGCAGAAGCAGAGTAAGGACTCAAGAGAACCCAGATTAGAAACAAGGAATTCAGTCAACGGTGGCAGGAGAATGCCAGGTGTGACGGTGCCCACCTGTAGTCATAGTACTCAGGAGGCTGAGGCAGGAACCTCATGAGTTCAAGACCACAGAGACTACATAGTGAGTTTGAGACACCCCTAAACCACATGGAAAGACCCTTTCTCTAAAAGCAAAAACAAAACAACAGTGGTAGGAAAGTCCAGAATTAGCTGTAAGTTCCCCTCAACCCCTGTACCAGGTGAGGGCGAGTTCACCATGACTCCTGCTTGTAACCGCGCAGCCCTATTTCCCCTTTCTCGAGCTGCTTGGACTCTGTCACTGTGCTCCATCAGGCAGACAGATCTGAGCGCCCTCTGCCTCTCTGCCAGACTCCTAGAAAGCTTTCTTTTTGCACCAGGCCAGAGACAGCGCTGACTTCTACGAGCCCTGGGCAGCGAGCCCTTGCTCAGTATCAGTCTGGTGTGTCGGGTAAGAGCGCTGGACTCGGGCCTGGTGGCCTTGACTCACTTCCGCTCTACACCTTCCCAACTGTACGAGCTTTGGCAAGAGCTCCGACTTCGTGGGCCTCCGTTTTATCTGTATGTTGTGCTGATTAAGTTAAAGCCCAAATGTGGGGAGTCCTCTGTCAGGCCCTCACTATCCCTGCACAGTTCTTAGCCCATTTCACAGAAGAAGGAGGACACTGAGGCCTGCAGTTGAGGAAACACGGGGCCAGGCCAGCAGTCAGCCACCACCACCTACTCCTCCGCTGAGGATACTCCTCAGAAGCCAGGATCTGAGAGGGAGGCAGAGGGTGGTACCTACGACCCAAGGAAGCCCAGGAGCAGGACAGGCAGGTCCTGGCAGTATGGACACAGCAAGCCACAGGAGAGGCCAGCTCATGCTGGTCTGGGAGGATTGCCAGCTCTGCCAACGCCTGTGACCTCAGTCTGCTGCTCCACACAATGGGCACCAAAGGGAGGGTGGCAAAGCTGTCTCCTGTTGCTGTGCAGGAGGTGACAAAAGGAGTCAGGATTGGGACCAGCCTCAGTCCTGTTCCAGAGAGGCTAGCTAGGGGCTGGTGAGATGGCTCAGTGGTCTGAAGCACCTACTTAGAACAAGCTAAGCTAAGCAAAGCACAGGGACCACGGTTCAATCCCCCAGCACCACATGCCAGCCATTCCCGCCCCCTGGTGGGCTGAACTGACCACACACACACACACACAAATAAATAAAAATTTAAAAAAACAAAACAAAACAACAACAACAACAACAAAAAAAAAAACAAAGAGCACAGCTGGAGCTGGGACCCACTACAGAGCAGACCGGATGGGACTTTCCAGGGTCAGGGATCTCAAGGGTTGGGAGATGGAGAAAGTGGGAACTGCAGGGTTTCAGTGGAATAGGAGCTCAGAGAAAGGGGCCTAGGATGTTCTTGTTATTTGTCTTTTTGAGACAGGGTCTTGCTATGCAGTTCAGGCTGGTATTGAACTCACTTTGTAGTCCAGGCTAGCCTCAAACTCCCAACAATCCTCCTGCCACCACTCCTGGACTGTGCCTAGGGTTTTAGATCTTTCTTTCTTCCTTCCTTCCTTCCTTCCTTCCTTCCTTCCTTCCTTCCTCCTTTCTTTCTTTCTTTCTTTCTTTCTTTCTTTCTTTCTTTCCTTCCTTCCTTCCTTCCTTCCTTCCTTCCTTCCTTCCTTTCTTCCTTCCTACCTTTCTTTCTTTCTTTCGTTGATACCAGGGATTCAAATCAGGATGTTGCACTTGCCAGGCAGGTGCTTATGCTGCAGAGCTCTCTCCCTAGACTCAAGATCTTTCTTATTTCTATTTTATTTTTTGAATTCTGGTGATTGAAGCCAGGGCCTTGTGCTAAGTAAGTACCCTACTACTGAGCTACAATCCCAGTTCTTCATTTTTTATTTTGAAACAGGATCTCACAATGTAGCTAAATTGCCTAAATTTACAGTCCTCCTGCCTCAGCTTCCCAGAATACTGGGATCGTAGACATATGCCACCACCGTGTCAAGCTCAGGAGTCACAATCTGGCTTTTTGTTGTTTTGTTTTTGTTTTTTTGAGACAGGGTTTTGCTGTGTCGTTCAGCCTGGCCTTGAACTACTATGTAATCCAGGCTGGCCTCGGACTTATGGCAATCCTCTTGCCTCAGTCTTTCAGGTGCTAGGTTTACAGTGGTGTGCCACACACCAGGCCAGTGTCCTGGTTTGAAATGGATCCCGGGGCTGGACACAGTGGCACATACCTGTGATCCCAGGAAGCAGAAGGCTGAGAGGCAGGAAGAGCGCCATGAGTTCAAGCCCATTCTGGACTATATAACCAGACTGTCTCAGAAAAAGAAGGAAGAAAAAGAAAAGAAAGAGAAGAAGAAGAAGAAGAAGAAGAAGAAGAAGAAGAAGAAAGAGAGAGAGAGAGAGAGAGAGAGAGAGAGAGAGAGAGAGAGAGAGAGAGAGAGAGAAATTCTGGGGTCTTGGGATGCAGAGGGCCTGAAGTGTTGTTGATTAAAAGAATTTCAGGTCCCAAACAAGCTGGGGCAGTGGGAGGGAACACGGAGGCCCCACCTGTGAGACTGCAGGCGCTCCAGGTCCCCAGAAGAGCCCCTTGTTTGGAAAGTCCGGTGAGTAGGGAACTTAGGGCAGCAGAGCAAGTGGGCAGAGCCAAGTCCATGAGCTTATGGGGCTGGGGATGTAGCTCAGTGGCATAGCTCCTGGCTGGCAAGCGTGAGGCCCTGAGTTGGATTCCCAGTACAAAAAAAAAAAGTATATTGTCTATCAAGTTTTGGGGCTAACATGGTTGCGGGGAGCTGTTTCCCTGACAGTGGGGAAGGCTCTGGGGCCTCACAGGAGGTCAGGGTGGTTCCGGGGCTCTGAATAATGTCAGGGTTCAAAGAGGGGTGGGAGTCTTAGTTCATGGGCATAGATACCTTCCTAAGAGGTCCTTGGTTGGAAAGGGCTAGAGCTTTCACTGGAAGTGCTTTGGTGAACAGACAGGCTGGGAGTTCCTGCTGTGGGTCTTCTAGAAGAACAGTCCACGGTCCTTGCTGTAGGGTGCTCTGGTTCCCACCAAGGTGGGTCCCCTTCACACACCTACCAGTTGATGGGGCTGTTGAACTGGGGTCCCAGGCAGAGGGAACAGAGTGTTCCTTTGGAAGGAAAACCAAGATGGGGTGGGTCCCTTGCTAGAGTCAAGGTAACTGGCTAGGGCATACATGGCAGGAGAGGGTCAGGGTCTCCTTGGGGATGGGAATCTCAGAGGAAGCCTTATTAGGTCCTAGCCCAGGATTCCTTCCTGGATGAAAAGCCTTTAGTAATGGTATCCAAAAAAACCTGGGGGAGGGTCCCTCCTGGCATGCCAGGGTCAGGAGAAAGTGGGTGGAGTGCTTTGGAGAGTCATACCCAGTGAGTCAGGAGACAGATTTGGAAGGGCTGGCTGGGAGTCCCGGCAGGACTGAGCTCCCTGGACAAAAGGGCAGGATCTTAGAGGATCCAAGGTGGGTCGCTGACACAGTCCTTAGCCCAGAGAGGGCTAGAGAGACCCAGACCCTGGGGGCGTTAAGATACTCACTGGAACTACTCTGGGTGAGGTGGTCCCCAGTCCACAGGGAACTGGCGTTTCCTGCTTTGCAGGAAGGGCTTGGATGTGGGATCCCCAAAGGAACTACCATCAGTGTTCACTGGGCGTCCCGAGGACACCCTAGGCACACAGTGGGGTGGGATAAGGAGACTCATGAAGGTTCTGGGCCTCAAAGTACAGGGCGAGGTGGGGTCCCGGTCCTCGCTGGCAGAGCGGGGCGGCACTCACGTACCCACTGTGGTGACCAGAGTGCTGGCGAAGAAGAGCGCCGAGGCGAAGTCCCAGGCCGGGTCCGAGGCGTTGGCGGCCCCCGAGGCGTTGGCGAGTACGGAGCGCCCCAGCCGCCCGGCTTCCAGCATCCGCTCTACGAAGGCGTCCAGCGCCTGGGGCTTCACGCACGGGCTGCGCTGCAGCAGCTGCTCCCGCAGCGACCCCAGCTCAGCCCGCAACCGGGCCTCATGCGGCCGCTCCAACTGCGCCAAGAGCAGCGCGCCCAGCGCCAAATACGCGGCGTAAGCTACCAGCGCAACCGCCAGCAGCGCGCCCTGCCGCATGGCGCTCCGCGCCCGCACAGCCCGGGCCGCAGCTGACGTGGCCCCCGCAGTCCCGAGCCTGGTTTCAGTTCCGGGAGCTGGAGACGCGGCCACAGACGCCCCAAGAGGAAGAGGGAAAGGGGGAGGAGCGGGGCTGGGGGAACGCCCTGCCTCTGGGAAACTGAGGCACGCCCAGACACCAGGTGTGTTGGCGCTGGGCGCAGAAGGCGGAGCTCTGCTCTCCCGCTGCCCTTCCCTTGTCCTCTCTTCCTCCCTCCAGAAAATTCTCCTTTTCCCTGAATCAGAGAATCCAAACTCTCCTTTTTGCTCCCACATGAAAGAGTTGCGTCCCAACAACTCAAAGAGAGGAGGGGTTAGGGTTGCTCCCTGCATCCAGGCGCCTACTGAGCAAGGAGGTCTACTTAAGCTCAGTTCTCCTCCATTTGCCAAATCCTGAGCACTGGAGGGAACCTGCCACTGTCTACTTCACAGAGGCAAACATCACAGAGTCGTGTTCCCTGTGCCCTGTGGGCAGAGTGGGATCATTAATTAGCCGTTCACATCTTCACTCAGCACCCAGTTTGTCCTGGCTAGTCCTGGGGACACCAGCGGTGACTGAGCCTTGGAGCCTGTCCTCCGGGAGATCCCAGTCTAAGAGGGAAGAATGACATGTCAGTGGAGTGACAACCCAGGGCCGTCAGGGCTGGGGTTTGGGAAACAGCAGAGAGAAGGCTGAGCTGTAGAATGCCACAGGAGGCCATAACCCATTTTAGGAGGTTAAGAAAGCTTCAGAGGAAAGGGTTATCCTTGCTGCAACACCAGTGACTAGGAATGATGGGCACAGTGGTGCACAGCTACACCCAGCACTGGGAGGCTGAGGCAGGAGGCTCGCCCACGTTTGAGGCCAGCCTGGGCTCTACAGTGAGTTCAATACCAGCCTGAGGGCCGGCCAAATAGCTAAGCGGATTAAAGCACCTGCTAGCAGGTGCAGAGTCCGGGGGTTCGATCCTCAGGCCTGCCGTGCCAGCCCCGCCCCCGGGGTGCACTGAGACTGGGCGTGGTGGCGCACAGCTGTAATCCCAGCTCTTGGGAGGCTATAAACAGGCAGATCGCTACAAGTTCGATAGTAGTGAGACCCAAAAAAAGACCAGCCTGAATTGCAAAGCAAGACCCAGTCTAAACAAAAAAAAAAAAAAATTAAAGACAGAGCAGAGAAGGGAGAAAGAGAGAGCTAGGAGTCAGGATCTCTTATGATAGAATCACAAATCAGTCTAAGCACTTGCCTGGCAAGCACAATGACCGGAGTTCAATCCCTGGTACTGCATCCACATGCCACTCCTACGCCAATGTATTGGGCCCGTGCCCAGTTGGCCCCGCCTGGGCTGGCCAATGAAACTGGGCATGGTGGTGCACACGCTGAGCTATGAGGATCACTATGAGTCTGAACTGTGTAGCGCGAGACTCTGTACCAAGTAAATAAATAAATAAATCTTTTTTTAAAACAAAATCACAAATCTAGGGCTGGCCAGATAGCTCAGTGGATTAAAGCACCTGCTTAGGCAGATGTAGGGACTGGGATTCGATTCCCCAGGGTGTGTCGTGCTGGCCCCGCCCCCGGAGTGAGCTGAAACAGCGATTGAGACAGGGTGTGATGGCACGCGCCTGTAACCGCGGAGCTTGAGAGGCTGAAAACAGGAGAATCACTACAAGTCCGACCTGTGCAGTGACACCCTGTAGATCTTATACTAAATATGTTTTTTTAAAAAAACAAAATCACAAATCTATGCCTCTAAGAGGGACTAGGGAGAAGGCTGTGGCTTAGTAGTACTCTTGGCAAGTATGTGTGAGGTGCTGGGTTCAGATCTCAAGCACTAACACAACAGAAGAAAGGGCCGGGGAGATGGCTCAGTGGAATAAGTGCTTCCCTGGCAAGCGCGAGGGCCTGAATTCAATCCCCAGTTCCAAAAAAACAAAAAAACAAAAAACAAAAAAAAAAAAAACAGAAGAAAAAAAAGGGGGAGAGAGGGCTGGGAATGTAGCTCAGTGGTACAGTGCATGCTTAGCATGTCCGGGCCCTGGGTTCCATCCCTGCCCCCAAATGGGGCGTCCTTTTGACTTCCTCCTGCAGGGCTCGCCACATCTCTCTGTAGTACCCTCCTGGTGGCCTTCTGGACAACAGCCCACAATTCAGCCATATCAGACCTCCAGAGGAGTGTGGCTTGGGGCCCAGCTAGTTCTATTTATGAAACTGTGGCAATTCTTGGAACAGAGCCCAATCTGGGGCTAACAGTCCTCAGGAAGAGATATCTGATGATAAGAACAGTAACCCAGTAACAGTGGCTGCCAGTGCTCACAGGCTGACCATATGTCAGGCCCTTGGACACAAGTGCTTGCCCAATTCCTTGACCACACCCATCTGATTCCCATAAACAGATGAGAAAATATAGGCTTGAGAATGGAGTACAGTCAGCCCCCTCATCGGTGGATTCAATCAACTGCAGATTGAAAAATGTCTGGAAAACAGCTGTATCTGTACTGAATGTGTACAGACTTCTTTCCAAGTCATTATTTCCTAAACAATACAGAAAAAGAAATATTTACATAGCATTTGTATTTTATTAGACATTGTAAGTATACAGACTGATATAAGGTGCTGGGGACAGGGTGGTACAGTGCTTGCCTAGCATGTGTGAGGTCCCAGGTTTGGTTTGCCACTCCACACAAAATATTATGTGTGTATAATTTAAAGTATTTGGCAGGGGGGCTGGTGAGATGGCTCAGTGGTCTAAAGCACCTACTTAGAATAAGCTAA